TTTACCAAAATGTGGAGTTTACAACTCTGGGTGAAAACACTTTAGACCTGGTTTACTCTAACATCAAAAATGCATGAAGAGCAGCTCCTCGTCCCCACCTCGGTTCATCAGATCAGGACTAACCGACAGTTGAAGAGGTCCGAGTGTGGTCTAGGGATGCCATGGAGAAACTCCATGACTGTTTTGAATGCGCCAACTGGAATATCTTCAAGACTGCAGCAACTTATGACAACATATTAAACATAGATGAGTATGCCATGACTTTGTCAGCCTACATCAATAAAGGCATTGAGGACATCAGCATCACAAAGAACATCACCACCTGAGCAAACCAATGACCATGGATGAAAGGGGAGGTTCAGAATTGCCAAAAGCATGGAACTCAGCTTTCAAGTCTGGTGATAAAGAGGCACTGAGGACAGCTCATGCTAACTTCAACCGTGCCATCAGATCAGCGAAGCAGAACCACAGCAAGAAAATCCAGGATTTTTTCCCCGTGCCAGCAACACCAGGAGGATGTGGCAAGGCATATGGGTGTTTACTGACTACAACACACCCTCACCCCCGGTTGATGCAGCAAACGTTGACTTTCTAAATTAACTGAACAACTTCTTTGGAAGGTTTGAGGCACTAAACAGCACTGTATTAGTGAAAGCTGTTCCACACCAGGGGGAGGAGGTACTCAATCTGGACATAGCTGAAGTGAGGAAAACTCTGAGGTGAGTCAACCCAAGAAAGGCCCCTGGCCCCGATAACATACCTGGACGGGTGTACAATGAGTGTGCAGATCAGTTGGCTGGTGTACTCACAAACATTTTCAACACCTCTTTCGATCAATCCATAATTCCAGCATGATCCAAGTCTGCCACCATCATCCCAGTCCCAAAGAAGCCTCAGGTCACCTCACTCAATGACTACTGGCACTGACTACCATCATGATGAAGTGCTTGGAAAGGCTGGTTAAAGAACACATCGTCTACAGTCTGCCGACAACATTCTAGCCATTCCAGTTCGCCTACTAATGGAACTGCTCCACTGAGGACGCCATCCTCTCCTGTGGAGGAGAAGAACACCCATGTGTGGATGCTGTTCCGGGACTTCAGTTCAGCTTTCAAAACCATCATCCCACAGCATCTGATAGGAAAACTAGAACAGTTGGGCTTCGATACATCCCAGTGCAACTGGCTGCTAGACTTCCTTACACAGAGACCTCAGTCAGTTCGGGTCAGACAGAACACCTCCAATGTCATCACCCTAAGCACAGGCTCCCCACAGGGCTGCGTCAAGAGTCCCCTGCTTTTCACCCTGATGACACATGACTGCATCCCCAGGCTCACCACAAATCACATCATAAAGTTTGCAGAGATGACAACGGCCAGGACTACAGAGGAGATGGAACAGCTGGTGCCCTGGTGCAGAGATAACAACCTGATCCTGAATGTGGAGAAAATGAAGGAGATCATCGTTGACTTCAGGAACAATTAGCCCAACCACGCTCAACTGCTCATCAACAGCTCAGCTGTAGAGGTGGTCAGCAGCACCAAATTCATAGGTGTGCACATCACAAACAGTCTCAACTGGACTGTAAACACCACATCACTGGTCAAAAGGTCACAAAAGTGTATGTACTTCCTGAGGAGGATGAGGAGAGCCCTACTGCTTCCACCCATCGTCACGACCTTCTACAGAAGCACAATAGAAAGCGTTCTGACCAGCTGTCTCACGGTGTGGTGTGAAGGACGCAACACCTCAGACTGGAAGAAGGTGAGGAGAGTAGTGAGAACAGCTGAGAAGATCATCGGGACTCCTCTTCCCTTCATAAAAGACATTTCATCCCAGCACTGCGTGACCCGAGCCTCTACCATTAGACGAGAGATAATAAAACGAAAGGAAACAAAAAAAGCACTGAATGTTGGAAAAACTGTAAATCATATCACAGTCTTATGTTTACATTTGATCACCATGTTTAAATTTTCTCTCTTTTTTTGTGTTTTTATGGCACTAGTTGCTTGTTTTTTTCAACAGTAGGCTGACAGGAAAGGGGGTATGAGAGACCATGTTTACATTTGATTACTGTTGCACTTTAAGAAATAGAAATTTCTCGAGAGCTGTAATGAGCAAAATTTTCTTTTGTATACACCCTGTGTGCACAAAATAAAAATAAAGTTTGCTTAGGTCTAGGTCCAAGTGAGGGTATTTTGTGGAAGATAAGTTCCTGTTCCTTCTATGAAGTCTATGGGTTCTACGTTGTCATAATCATGAATATATTCTAGCTTGGTAATTTTTGATGATAACACTAACTTGGCTGTGTCAATTTTGAGGGGAAAGAATACCCCATTTCCATACGAAAAAATTAATAAAATTCAGATGCAATTTTCCTTGTTCCGATTGCAAAATGTTAAACCAGCTGTTGTCCGTTGCTTGTCATATCCATGAGCTTATATATGAATGTAAGCTCTTTCAAGTGGATATAATTTGTGCAGCAAAGGTGCTTTTCTTGTTCAGTACCAGCAAGAACCACAAAAGTACGCTGTGCATGCAGTATTTTAAGGTCTTACCTAGAGGTTTTCCATCAAATTTTTGATTTTTCAAAAAATAATACAGCAATAGAGTGTATATAGTGGTGAGAATAAAAGTTTTAGTTTTACTGAGAAATATATAATATATTAGTATTTTTGACAGATTCAAAATATATAGCTACAGCAGTTAAAATAAGTTTAGAATAAGAGACCATTTTTCTCAAGTATAATTCTAGAGGTCCATGCAATCCACACATAGAAAGAAATCAAACTTAGATGTCCAGAAAATAGGTTATGTGTATTAATGTGGAACAGCACAAGGAAAAAGTGTTAAACACATGAAGAAATGGAGGTTGTAAAAGGCATGGAAAGCCAGGAAATCCAATAGAAAATCTATTGAATGAGCTAAAGATCAGCGTTCACAGAAAAGGCCCATGAAATATTCAAGAGTTGAAGACTGTTTATGTGGAAGAATGGGTCAAAATCACATATGAGGGCTGCATGCAACTAATTTCTCCATACAGGAATCGTCTAGAAGCTGTCATTGTCAACAAAAGTTTTCTTCAAAGTATTAACTAAATTTCAGTGTGTGTTCCATACTTTTACCTGTGCCATTTCACTTTATTACACATAACTACATTTCTGGATATCTATGGTTTGACTTTTTGTATGAGTGGATTGAATGGATTCTTACCAACATCTGGTGAAAACACAAAAGGATATTGCACCAGTAGGAATAGTGGATTGGACACATTGAATGGAGCTCAGGTGTTGCTGGATCCAAGTAACTCTGTGTTATTGTTAGAATTTGGCTGCTTCTCGGCATAAAGTTTTGAGGATACAAGTAAACCAGAACAGAAGCAAAACCAAAGGTGATCATCAGACAATCCTTTAGAAGCAGGTGTTGACTTCATGAATTAATAAGCAATTAATTTTGATGACAAAATCTCCATGCTGTTCTCCAGTCTGATACTTACAAGTACACAGAGATGCGACTACCAACTTAGCCCAAAGAGCAGAGTAGCATAATAGCATTATATTGTTATTAACTTCATACAGCATGTTTTTCCAAAAGATGATGTTGTTTGATCTTGTATTTATCCTTTTAAATTACGCTTTGCACATACTGTATGAGGCAAGAGCTTTGGGAGGGATCAAGGCAGGGTTGCAACTAGTGTTGGAAGTAAAGGTGTTTCATAATAATGCCGCTAGTAATAGAGTAATGTGTTTTCAGTAATGGAGTAATCTATTTAGTTACTTCTCAAAGATTGATAACATAGTGAATGAAGTGAGGAGAGATTCTTTCATGGCTCTGCAAACAGGCTATGTCACATGGAATCTAACTTTTTCAAATACAATTTGGGCCACATTTGTATGTGGTTTTAAATACAATACAGATACAGGTTGGATCTTATGAAATGTGTCTGTGATCTAAACAGCCAAACCAAGCGATCAGAATAAGTATGACGATGAAGTCATTCTGTACTGATAGGAGAACAAGAATAATCAGCCTACAATGGAAAGGAAAAACATGGAGGACAGCATAGAAGGAGGTGTTCAATGGAGGGACAGTATAATTTTGTAATTAATGAGTATTTTGGCGGATACAACAATCTAAAAGAAGCTTAAACAGGTCATACCATAACAGGTCAGTAGACTACAATGCTACCTCCTGAAATTTCTCTTTCGAGATGTCAGTGCGCTTTCAAAAAGCCGTAAATAATAGTTTAGCTCTCTTTCTCCTGTATTTCTTTTTCCACATTATTCTGCTGCATCATTGGGCTACTTTCACTTAGCAGTTTTAAATCCATCCATAGACACTGACCTCTGACACATCTTGTTATTGGTTTTCTGCACATGCAGGTCTAATCAGGGACACATTTGAGAAGGTCATGTGATCAGCAACAAAAAACAAAATAGAATCTGACAAAAAAATTAGGATTGAGCATTAAGACCTTCAGGGTGAAAATAGCTATGTTGTTTACAGGCAGCTTAAAGCTATCCTCATATTATCTCACCATTAGCATAACTAGCTATGTTCACACTGCAAAAACAAGTTGGCCCAAATCAGATTTCTTTGCCCTCAAGTAACTCAGGGGAGATTCTGTCATGACTGCATGAACATAAGCAAAATGGTTGCATGTCATGCAGGGGGAATGTATACTGAAGTTTTGCTTAAAGAGACATCACGCTATAGAACATTTTGGGAGGTTAGTTTTTGCTAGATGGCATATGTTAATATGCTATTTAGAAATATTTAAAACTGAGATACCATCTGAGAACTGAGGTACAGTAATAATACTAGAAATCAAGTCAACAAAAAAATTTCTTTGCTTAGTTTGGTAGAAAATGAAGCAGTGTCTCATGGAGGACACTGAAGCTGTGGCTCACTTGGATACAAATAGATCAACTCACTCCTATCCAACCCTCATAGATAATTGTACCCATTGCAACAGCCAGTCAAATAAAAGAAACCATGTCTGCTCCAAACCCTTTTTTTTCAAGAAGAAAATGCTGTTCAAGAACAGACCGAAATTTCACAGATATTGCTTCATTTATTTCAGTTTTTGCCCAGATTTTTCAGGATAAAGGTGTTAAAGAAAGTTGAAAAAAATACACCTGTTAGTTCTGCTACCTGAGCAGCAGCCCCTCCCCTACATGTGAAAACAAGCAGCTGGAAAATATCTACGAATGAAGGCTCCCTCCAGGAAGCAAATGTCTTAACCGCACTGAGTTGGCTCCCTAAACAGCTTTCTCCAATCAGAAAGGGGATGATGTGAGGCATAGTGCGATGATTCTGGCTAAAAGTTCGGACAAGTTGCTCTACCGGCGACTTGTCTGAACATTTACAGGGCAGCAACATCTATTTTTTTAGCTAATGTCTGAGTCATGGAAAATCAGTTCTTTTTCGCAGTGAGAAGTCACAGACGCCGTTGCTTTAAAGGCAAGTGTTACTCTTTGGGGTTGGAAAAAAAACTTTATTTCATAACATATTTCTATCAACAAACCCTGTGGCTTCACCTTATGTTGTTAGAAGGATACAATCTAAGGATTTTAATTTATATTTAGCTAGATGTGACTTTTAATGGCTTAAAAAAAATGATATTGGACCTTAAATGTATACATTTTGCCAAAGCATCAACCACATAGATGTCAAAATATAATATTTCAAAATATAATATAACAAAATATTTCCTCCCAGGACATTGCCTAAGGCAAAACATGGCCTCTGTTGGCTTACCTTACTTCTGTCACACATCCACACACTTACTAGTGCCGAGTCTTTCAGAGTAAGGAGAGGTACAAGCAAAGTGCCATCTAAATGATGTAAAAAACAAAATGAATTATCAGGCCTTCCCTCACTGTTCTGTGATCCAAATATGAGGAACGGGACAAAAGTAAGCATTCAAACTCCAACCCAACAGTAGCTGCGCAGCTACTAACTCAATCCTATCTTATGCATTCTGTAGTCTGAAACCTTTCATTCAGTTCAAGCATTAACCTCTTTAACCAATAGTGGTCTTAGCTTATAACTTCTACTTCTTTAAACAATGTGTATAGACTTCAACAGACCAGGACCAAAAGCTCCAGTTTTGTGAATATTCTAGTCTAGAGGTATAGTCCACAAAATCTGTCTCTTATTATGCAAACTGGTTTTTTTAAGTTGTCTTCCCCATTCTACTGCTTGTACAGCAACGACTCTAACAATGTAATATTCAGTTCCCTCAACTATAACCCATCATCTTAAAGTGGTTTAATCTGTTTTTTTATTTTTTTCCCCTTCATCTGTCAATGGCCACAATGCTATGCATTACTAGTGTATATAAGAGTTCATTAAAAAATTACTCTCGATTTTAAAGGTGATCATACCAGCTTTGCCTTAGTCTACACACCAAAATCAAGGTAACAGTAAATATATATTGTAGATCATTTTATATTTTTATGATCAATAAAATGTATTATTAATGATTTGTTATTATTTTATTAATCTAATCAGTTGGATGATGCTATCCGATTTAATTTCATATTTTTGTTTAAATAGCATGATTCTGCAGTATGTTTTATCCATGATCATTTTATCATATCATTGGTACAACATGTCTACTGTGGTCATAACAGATGCAGATATAGTTAGATTTATATGTCCATTACTGGAAATTAACTCATGAATGGATGCTTTAAAGTCCCATTTTAGCCCCTCAAATTCACCATTTATTGAACACTTGTTTACTTGTTAGCTCTGGCTCTGACTGTTCTCAATATAATTTTGTTGAATGACCAGACCTTAGGCAATCAACATGTTGTCTGATAACAAACATATATGTACAAAGTAATTTTAAATAAAATTAACCTTTTGTGAAAATAAAAAACAAAACATTTTGAAAATTCTGTAACACAGTCCATGTAAGAGTCTTGTTTTTACTATACAATTGATGTGTCCACAATCCACTTTGTGATTCTGGTTGCTTTTGTTGATATCGTTAGGTACACATCACAGCTACATCCGATGTAAATATACTACTTCACATCCTGCTGTAGGCTTTACCAGTCACAGGGGTGCCAACATGAAATGACACAGACACCAAGCTGAACCTGTACATATTTGAGGTAAAACCTTCTGCTGCAAAGGTAAGTCAGGTTTGTGGAAACAAAAGGATCAGTTTAAGAATTTTACATGAAACCATAATTTATAACAAAACTCCCTTGTCTTTCTAGAACTGTATCAAAGTCATTTATTGCCATAATCAGAAAATCCTTTATATATCATGTCATGTTTTCACATTATATTTTAATCTTTTAAGTGACTCATGGTCCACTAGATATTGTGTTTTTCTTGTGGTACATATGTAAACATCAGACTTGAGCTGATCGATTTTTGGGTGCACCGTTTCTTTTAACAAGTTGTTTTTTCCTCCTTTCACAAATTTTCAAAGTATTTTTTTTTATCTTGATTACAGTGGTTTCTGTCATACCTGTGTGGCTGATGCTGCCAATTTGAGTTGTCCATGTTTTGTTAGTGTTCCCATGTCACTGTGGTTTATGATATATCTGTTGATCCCATCTATGCCATTGTCTCTGGGCTCCGACACTGCCCCTGAAATGTTGCTAACGAGGTTCTTGCCCTGCGGGGAACACATTGTCATGGGAATACAGGAGTCATCCCAGTGCTGCAGCTCATGTTGTCCTTTCCTGGGAGTCGCCGGTCGTTGTAGGTGTGCATGTTGATCACTGCATCCGTCTTCACCATGACTGGGGGCTGGTGCTTTTGTTTCACTCGTCTCTCGCAGGTGAACGACAGTCTGATCTCGTCCACCATGGCGCTGCACAAAGACCTCTGGGCAAAAAGGGAGGATCCGGGAAGGGGCACGCGGAGCAGAGGGGGAAAGGGACGGGGGTAAATACCTTAGCCTTTAATTGTTCAGACAGCAGAGGGTTTCAACATTCACAATAGTAGCAAATGGATGTAGAGTACTTATTTATTCTTAGTAGCTGTGTTTCTAATGTGTCAGGCTGTCATTAATGGTACACTGCAACACTGTTCCTAGATCTAGTATGCACATAACTCATTAATAACGCTGTGTCAGATATACAAAAGAAGTAGAATACAGGAAAATGCATGCAGTGATTTACACCACTTGACCAAACATTGTGACATACATCATTAAAGGGATGATCCTATTTAGGGATCTCCAAACTCAAATAATGGATTAATACTCTATGTTCTTATTTGTAGTGATGCCGGTGGAAATTAGTAAATATTGTAGTGTTATGACCGAGTACTCTAAGGGATTAGTCAATAAAAGCATGCAGATCAATTTATGTATTCTTGAACCAAAACCTATAATTAGAGCACAGCTTTAAGGGTATGTAGAAGAAACACAAGAGATATGATTCGCTGGATTTTGCACTAAAGTTCAGTTGCATCTCCACAAAAAAAATGTTTAAAATCAACTTATTTTTGCAATTTAACCTTTCTTAAACTTGAAAAAGATATAGTGTAAAGTGGATTTCTAACACATCTACAACAATTTAAAATTTCCACTTTTTTGTTAAACAAAATGTTAAAGCAGGATAAATGGTTGAAAAAGTTCACTTTAAATATGAAACAAACAATTCAATCAAAAAAAAGAGTAAAAAGCAATTATGTTTTGGGGAGAAAATGTAAAGTAAATGCAAATGATGTCTTAAACTAATATTTTGATTAAGAGCCTTAGTTTATGAGTCTCCCCTGGTGGGGGTCACCCAGGATCCCTCATGTTTAGTCTGATAGTAATGGGAAAAAAATGAAGACTTTATTTTTTTCAATTGTTTGTATTGTTCTACTCTTTTTGAAGTCAGCGCTATGCAGTGAAAAAGAGTTTCCCAAATAAAACAACCATTTAACTTTGAAAATTTTGTTTGACTATGGGGAAAATGTCCTATTTTATTTATTTCTAGAGATCTATTAGCTCATTGAAACCAACCGTACAATTAAAAAACTTTAGTCATTAATTGATTCACTTGGGCATAAGCTTAGATTTACTGTGATGTTTTAAAATAAAACTCCCTCACAAATTTTTGCATTCTAGAGAACCCATGATGGATTTAGGTCAGACACAGTCATTTTAAGGACTGTTTATTATTTATTCTACTTGGACAAAGCAACAGTAGCATTAAAAAAAAAAAACCCTGACCATGATGCTGCCACTACTAGTTGACTACAGGTGTGGTGTCAATTCAGTGATGTATTATGTCGACATAGCATTCAAAAGTCAAAGTTCTGTTTTAAATTGTAAAGTTGACTGTATGTGTGTAATTGCATATGCATGCATATATATCTATATCAATGCATGTGTAAGGATAGTGCCATAGCATTGTAAAATAAATGTAATATACTTGATAAAAGAAAATTAGAGTATAAAGGAGTGGGAGTCAAAAACAGGTGTTTTAAACTTAATCTAACCTCTTCTTACAAGATGGCTGTGCCTGTAGGCAGCGGGTTGATACAGCTCCAAACAAATATAAGTACAAAATACGCCACCTAGAACGCAACAATTAGACATCGATCCTGCTTCTATGACCGCCAGCGCCTGCTGGAGCTTCGGTCACAAAATGTAGTTTCGGGACTCTTAAATACAGCCACTCTTGACTGTTTAAAAAGCTGCGGAGTTCTTTGGATGAATGTAAACAAAGCAGCTAGCGAAATAACCAGGTCACGCCAGGAGAAGCTGAATGAAACGATGTGCGTGACGGTGTAAGTGGGGCTTCAGAGGCGGGTTAACAGCGAAGCTAAGAAGGAATACCCACAGACCATCCTGCTTTCTAACGTCCGCTCACTGGACATTAAAGTGGACAATCAAGATGACAATAAAAGTTATCTAAGTCTAATGTTTATAGCTTACATCTATTTTTTTTCATTATATGATATATGTGTTACAATTTATGTATTCTATACATTTTATATAAATAATATTTTGTTTGTTTGAAATAAATTGCTTTCATTTATTCTCTAAGACTGGTAACTTTCATTCATACTCTTAGGTTTAAGGGTTGTAAAGATTCAAAAGCCACTGTATTAAGTGTACATAAAAATTTTCAACACAATTAATAAAATAAATTAAGCCATTAATATTTAATTAAATAATTAAAATCCAGCATTGTATTATCAGTTTTTGACCAGCGTTGCAAGCCACACAGTAAGAATCAAAATTGATTCATGATCTATGAAGATATATACCTGTTCGCGTTCAGCAGTCTTCCTCAGCTTGTAGATAAATTCAGCAATCGCCACAAAGACAGATAGCACCAGGCCACATGCCAATACAATGAATATACCACCCAGGTTCTGGATCCCCATGGGGCCTGTCTTACGACGCTCCTCATCCAAGCAGCTGTTTCCACTCCACCACTTCTCCTTCAGAATGTGGAGAAGACCATCCTCCTGGATGCTGAGGATTGCTATGCTGATTTTGTCCCTGTATGGAGAGCCTGCAAGTAACATAAGGCCCATTTAACTTTGGATGGATTGCCAGCTGGACTATGTGATAATAAGGTTCATAAACACATTGTGGCACAGTGTCTGACTAGTAGCTGCTTTTTAATATTATATTGCTGGTGAATCTGAAAGAAATTCCTTACTCTCATCTTTCAGGGAAACAAAGACCAGCATAACTTATGAAAAGGGCTTTAATTTTTTATAAGACTGGAGCTCTGGAATGTAGTTTTGAGGCTGTTCATATGTCTTACCGATGGGAGTGCCAATGCCATAGCCTTTGCTGTCAATAATCCCTCCCACTTGTGTCAGGTTACAGTTTCTCCTAGTGATATAATCAATGGTGGTGGACTCTGTAATGAGCGCATAGTCAGACTTCAGCACCCTCTGAACTCCATCTTCAACAGATTTCACCAGGGATGTTCTTGGCCTGCTGCTCATGAAGGCCCACATCTTCTCAAAAGTCGAAACCTTTGATTTCTATGAGGGATAAAAAAAAAAAGAAAAGATGTAACAAAAAAGAATATCTGAAATTGATTTAATAAAAAAAAATAAAAATTTAAAGCTTGAGGCAAAAAAATAAGTTATTAGAGAAACACACAATATTCTAATTACCATAGAAATGTTGAACTTAACAAAGCAACTTTTTTAGTCTAACAGCCACATGCGCTTTAGGTGGAAAAACAGCAAACCATGAAATGGCTTGTATGTTAGAAGCCAATAATACACCTATTGAGATTTTTTGAGGAGTAAAATAATGCCAGTGACTATAGGGATTGTATATGTAATTACTCACAGCTCTTGGTGTTATATTTATTTAAAAACCAAATAGATTTAAATGATAACTCCTTCAGATCTCCATTACACGGGATTAAAGGACGATGAATTGAAGCTTTGCACACATCTATTCTCATAAGTGTTACTGAAGCAGCAATAATAGAATGGCGTTCCATTAGTCTTGCATCAGTCTATGAGGTATTTCATGCAATTTTCTGTGAGGTCACATTTATGCCATGTCTAATCCAAGATAATTACTGTCTAATAACTATAAGCCATTTCAAATTGTGCGAAATGCTATTAAAAGAACTCTGCTCCCTATGTTAAATTCAGCAGCAGCCCAGTCCTGGCTATCTTGGAACACATATTTTAAGTAGGCAAAAACAGCTTGTTATCTCTTTAATAAACTTTAACTTCCACTTTTAAATAATGTGCCGATTTTTTGTGTATATTTAAGTATGTAAAATTGGTAGAAGGGAAATAATGTTAATTTGTTTGCAAATGTTCTGGAAATAATATTCTTTACAACAACAATGTTAAAATGTCTGTAAATAAACATGCCAACTTAGTGATTAGCTCTACTTATGTTTACCTAAAAAGATACATGTATTTCAGTTTCAGGAGTATAACTCTTTGCTTACTTTGTGCATGATATTTTTTTTTTTCTTTGAAATAATTAGAGAATTAATCATCTTATAACCCTTTTAAGTGGGTAAGATTAGATACGCGGCAAGAAATTGGCTGCTGACCAGATTTGATTTTCATTTTGAAAAGGCCCGACCTGGGGCCGGCCCAATACAACAAAATTCTTCGGTTTGCAGGTTTTTAAGTAAGTCAAGTGAGTGAAAAAAAGACTGAAATTTGTCTTCTTTTAATGTCAGGTACACTAAATGTCTGAAATAAAAATAAAATAAAATATGCTATAGATGTTAAAAGCAATTAAAAAAGCAGTCTTATATCATAAGAGAGCAAGACCCACCGCTGGTAACAGGAAGGCTACAGTAAAACAAAATTTCTGCTTTTGAACTTTTTCATCAAACAGGACTAAAACCATTTATGAACTGGTGGATCAAAACAATGTAAGGATCTAAATTAAGACTGAAATTCAAACACATGAGACTTTGGAAATACTAGCAGTGACAATTTTGCTTATCGCTCATAAACATACGAGATAAAAGATAATACTATTCTTTGAACATCCTATTTTACAGTTTTTTAAATCAATTTCAATAAACCAAAATCAGAAAAAGCAAAGTTATAAAAAAACTAAATTTCAAAGGTAATAGACAAAATTCTTACCGGAAGATTTACATTCTTTATGATCAGTACTAACTACTTTTTTTTTTCTGTTTTATTTAAAATAAACCTTTTCAGAATACAAATATTTCTGTTACAGTTTATCTAAGTGCTAGGAGTTTTTTTTGTCTAAGTTTTTTAACTGAGTCTAAAACCTTTTTTTCTAATCTGTACTGAGGACAGCCTATCAGCCAACAACACCTGCAAAATCTTGTGTGCTCCACATCCTGGTTTCACCAACATTCATCAGGCTTTCTTTGCCTCATTGAATTTGCATCAGTAAGACTTTCCTTTGCAGAGGGCCCTTGAGCCACTTATAATTAACCACCTGTTTATTTTGTTCATTGCTAAAAATTCTTAAAGGGTATGAATAATCCCCAGACGTTTTTCAACCCATCTATTCACATGTCGGGAGCTGTCTTCATGTTCTACAATTTTAATATATTGTGATCTAAGAGCAAACATGAGCATGTTTATAGCATTATAAATGTATTGTATTCAATTAATTTAATTTATATAGTACCTATTTATAACACATGTCATCTCAAGGTATTTTACAGAGACAATTGAACCAGATCATACAGTCAAATTGGTTAAAAAGTTTTCTATCTAAGGAAAACCAGCTGATTGCATCGACTAATTGACTCAAAAGCAATCCCTAAGACCAAGCATATTTGTAGCGACAGAGGAGAGGGAAAAACTCCCTTTTAACAGGAAGAAACCTCCAGGAGAACCAGGCTCAGTGTGAGCGCCCATCTACAGAAGCAGACATAGAAAAAGAAGCATTATGTAGATACAATAAGTTTTTATGTTTAGTTTGCTCTACAATCTGTTTTAACTGTTATTGTTTCTGCAGTCTTTTCAAATTTGCATATCAAATACACACACTTATCTGCTGACGTTTGGACTGTGCACTCATAAAAACAAAAAATTTCAAAATTTTGTGAATTCTAATAATTTTTTCAGAACCTAAAATGACTGTTTTCTACACATTGCTTATCTACCTTAAAGAAAGCCATTGTTGCTCCATCTTTGACGACACCATACTCAATCTTGGTCTGCTTGGCCATGTCGTCTGCTGAATCCACTGACGAGTCCATCCTCTCCACAGTTAAAAAAGCTGCTAAATTAGCAGTATAGGAAGATATAATAATGAGTGTAAAGAACCACCAGATTCCACCTATTATTCTGGTTGACAGAGCTTTGGGCATCAGTTCCGATCCTGTATGCAACACAACAAGAGAGAGAGAAACATTCTGTAAAATAGTTAAACAAATGGAGGAACATGACTGCTTGCATTTTCGTTAATTAGCTTGGAAATGCTTTTGGCAGTGTCACTGCTTCTCATTAAGGTGCTGTCAGTTGGTAAATGGAAAATAAAAACCAGCAGGGCAACTTAGCAAGCTATAGGCTAAAAATTAAGAGCAACCCCCCCCCCCCCCCCCCCCCGCCAAAAAAACTATTCCTATACAAATATTTTCTTATGTTTTTGCAAAACTACATGGATGGATGGATGGATGGATAGATAATTGTAACAAAAATTGGTAAAGGCCTAAGGACTAAAATCTCAATAACATTCTAATTCAGGTTTAGCGTTATAAATATATTTTTTTCCAAAAAGTATTTCTGTAATTAAATTAAATAAAAAATTTAAAAAAGAAAACCCATGGTATAAAGATTCATTACAAATAGATTGGTTTGGTTTAAGTATATGTTTTAATTCTGATGATTTTTACTTACAGTAATTAAACAAAAAATAATTCTGTTCAGCAATAATGTGTAATTAAAAGCAATCAATGTAAGCAATTTAAACACACACAAATGTTACAATTTGGCTATTTATGAGCTAGAGAGGGTAGGCCTACACTAGCTGCTCACAAAGTGCTTTATATCATATAAGATTCAAATAAGACTGACCGGAAGGAATAGCCTGGACAGTTCAAAAACATTTTACCTGGGCTAAGAAAAAAAACAAAAAGAAAAGAAAAGAAAAAAACAAAGACAAACTAAAGGAAACAGAAAACAAACTAAAAAACTCAATGACAAAATTAATTCTGAGTTCTCATTAACAGCTAGCAATAATCATAAAAAAACAGATGCTGGGAATAAATTATGATATGGTCCAAGAATGATGACAGGATTTCATTTTTAAATGTTTTAATTTTTTAAATACATTTAGTTGGCTAAAAGGCACCCCTTCAAGCTTTTAAACTAAGAAGTGTTTCCCTATCTCCATCATTTATTTTCATATCTCATGGGGTTTAGCAAAAGAACACATGACTGAAATTTGAAAACCTATTAATCACAGCCCGCATAATGTAAAAAAAGAAAAAAAAAAAAGAAAAAAGAGAGACAACGAAATATGTTGACAGAACACCTCTGCATCTGCGTTGACTTTGAGTGGGCCTCTCTGAGCAGTACTATGTTTACAATGGCTCACTGACTGGTGTTAAAGTTACTTTATATCTCATCTCTGACAACCTTTAAAATACCCTTGTGCTTTGTGCACTCTGTTACTTTACTGGGAAGATTTATGAGGGCAATTCTGAAGAGTAACAAACCCACAGAAGGCGGGCAGCCTGGTCAGCTCTTTAACCTCTTCTACCAAATTTGATTGGATTTGTCCTTTGTGGTTTGACAAAGACTCTACATGGTTGCAAACAAGGGAAGATAGAAGCCTCCCTTAATTCACTATGACTTCAGAGAGGCAAAATCCAGATGCATCCTCTGGTCACACTAAAAATGAAGTGAGGCCATGGTTAACTCAATTGAATTCCACACTATAAAGCGCTGTTGTCAGCGGGGAGCAATATATGGCACTGCATCAGAACACTCCAATAAATACAAGAAGCAGATCAGTCATATGGTGCCAGCAATAAAACGGTGGCAATATACAGTATGATACTGATCTCAGAGGAAGGCTTGTTGTTTGTAAACCAAGTCAGTTCACATGTTCGCACACAGAGGACATTGTTCACACTGTTAGCTGTCAAAATATGTTTCTCTAGCTGCTACACTGTCCACCGAAAGCAAATAATAATGCTTGATTTACCGATTTAGAAGACATATTTTCACATGTTGATGAATTTTATTGTAAGCATTATTTTCTAAATCCATCTGATTCCGACCAGAATTCACTCCTTTGACAAAATGTCTTTTTGTAAGCTCAGTTTGCACGTATTGTGACAGTATAAAAGAAGGAAAAGCTTTGCAGGTATTATCCCAATCTTGTAAATTCTAGATATATTGGGTCTGACCACGGCAAAGAAGCCAAATGTTTACATTTGATTTGTTTACATTTTATCACTGCTGTACTTTATAGAATGGAAATGTTCTGAAAGTTGTAGTAATCGAAATTTTGTTTTGTGTATACAAAATGAAAATAAAAGTTGTCTAAGCCTAAAGTACGTTTATTTTTGGCTGAGCAAATTTGTTGGTATGGCACATTTCAGCAATATGACAATACAAATACGAAGACATAAACTAAGGCAGGGCAATATGGCTAAAAAGTTATTTATCAGATTGATTTTAGATCGATTACAATATTTCTTGATTGGTTGTTTTTTTTTACCTGTTCGAAATAAGAATCAGAGAAAAACATCAAATTAAAATTGTCCCCCCAACCCTATTTAAAACATTTATCTTTCAAATAGGTGATCCCTTCATGCAAATTTGCTTTGTTTGGCCGTGAGAACTTAAGAGGCCTCTACGTACATCCCCCCTCATTGAACCTTTCATCGAACATATTTTATATTTATATTGTATAGTCAGCTATCGCAAATATATTGATTTATATTGACTAAACATAAGAAGAGAAAATATAAAATAATTTTGCAGGGGCAGAGGCAGGTACATAAAGACATTAGTACAAACTTTAATAATGTTAACGGTTTAAATGGAAGTCATGGACAATTCTATGCAAACAGGATTTTAACCTTAATTTAAAGGGTGAAGTATGGTGACACTTTAGCAGCATTTCTTTTTCACTGAGGAAGATCATCACAGATTGATAAACAATTTACTGTACCACCATTTCTTTTATATTTTCACAAAAAAAATCTTCTAATGCGTTGGGCTGCAGCAACTAAAATCTCATTGTCTTCTTCCATTGATGACTGTATACTAACTGTCCACTACCTGTCTCCATCTTTAGACTAGCTACTGTACATGCTGAGCCGTTACTGTGACTAACTGTCCTTTAGACTTAAAACCAAGCCTAGAGCTCATTTACTTTTTAGATGAAGCCTCTGAAGAAGCTGATGAAGATTCTCAGTTATCCAGGTCATAGTCATTCCGTAAAAGTTCAAAATCTTGGAAACCTCTGAAGAAGCCACTACTGCTGGAACAGTGCTTCTGTGTTATATGTGAATGTTCTGTGTGCTAAGGGGTAGTTTTCCTTTCCAATGTAGCATGAGGCATGCTAAACAATTCAAAATGCTACAACGCTAGAAAGGACACATGAAGGTCAATATGTACATTTTTTTTTGTTAAAATAATCTAACTTTTTTGTTAAAATAATCTAACTTTTTCATTGATATCAAGAAAAAAAAACTATTTCCTTTATACCTCAGACATGCCAGTATACCTTATGGAACTTCAATGCTGGCAATCGACCTGCAGAGAAATATAAACAAGTCAAGGAACCAACTCAGTAGAAATGTAAGAGGGTTCTAATAAAGAAAGCTGCAACTGATCCACAGCAGACTTTCTCTTCTCCTCCTCTTCTTTTCCACTTATTCTAAAGTTTAGTTCACCTTTTTTTTACGACCCCATATAAATTGACATTAGTTATGAGAAGTAAGAATTCTAGGCTGCTAGATGCATCTCGTTTTCTAAATTATCTACAAAATACAATAATTTGAATGCTCAATTTCTTGTTATAAATAGTTTCAGTAAAGGTAAAGGTAGTATCAGCATGGCTAGATCTATCAGGTATTTACTGGTTCTTCAGAAATGACATAATCCTGGCACATAATTAAGCTGTAAGCGAGAAGGTCATGAGTTTCAATGTGTGTTGTTTTTGATGATTCGGTCTATCTGTTAACTGCGGTTAACTGTGCTTTCAAAATAATTGTCTGTCCTATTTGATGTTTTGTTTTATTTTGTGTTTTTCAAGGTTGCAAGTGGCAAGACTCAAGAATTAATTCACTGGACTCACTGGAATATTGGACTCGATTGCCATCTATATTAGCATCGTTGTTTATATGTGTGTACTTTTCTTTACACACATATAACTGTGTACACTGCTGTACTTTATAGAATGGAAATGTTCTGAAAGTTGTAGTAATCGAAATTTTGTTTTGTGTATACAAAATGAAAATAAAAGTTGTCTAAGCCTAAAGTACGTTTATTTTTGGCTGAGCAAATTTGTTGGTATGGCACATTTCAGCAATATGACAATACAAATACGAAGACATAAACTAAGGCAGGGCAATATGGCTAAAAAGTTATTTATCAGATTGATTTTAGATCGATTACAATATTTCTTGATTGGTTGTTTTTTTTTACCTGTTCGAAATAAGAATCAGAGAAAAACATCAAATTAAAATTGTCCCCCCAACCCTATTTAAAACATTTATCTTTCAAATAGGTGATCCCTTCATGCAAATTTGCTTTGTTTGGCCGTGAGAACTTAAGAGGCCTCTACGTACATCCCCCCTCATTGAACCTTTCATCGAACATATTTTATATTTATATTGTATAGTCAGCTATCGCAAATATATTGATATATATTGACTAAACATAAGAAGAGAAAATATAAAATAATTTTGCAGGGGCAGAGGCAGGTACATAAGGACATTAGTACAAACTTTAATAATGTTAACGGTTTAAATGGAAGTCATGGACAATTCTATGCAAACAGGATTTTAACCTTAATTTAAAGGGTGAAGTATGCTGACACTTTAGCAGCATTTCTTTTTCACTGAGGAAGATCATCACAGATTGATAAACAATTTACTGTACCACCATTTCTTTTATATTTTCACAAAAAAAATCTTCTAATGCGTTGGGCTGCAGCAACTAAAATCTCATTGTCTTCTTCCATTGATGACTGTATACTAACTGTCCACTACCTGTCTCCATCTTTAGACTAGCTACTGTACATGCTGAGCCGTTACTGTGACTAACTGTCCTTTAGACTTAAAACCAAGCCTAGAGCTCATTTACTTTTTAGATGAAGCCTCTGAAGAAGCTGATGAAGATTCTCAGTTATCCAGGTCACAGTCATTCCGTAAAAGTTCAAAATCTTGGAAACCTCTGAAGAAGCCACTACTGCTGGAACAGTGCTTCTGTGTTATATGTGAATGTTCTGTGTGCTAAGGGGTAGTTTTCCTTTCCAATGTAGCATGAGGCATGCTAAACAATTCAAAATGCTACAACGCTAGAAAGGACACATGAAGGTCAATATGTACATTTTTTTTTGTTAAAATAATCTAACTTTTTTGTTAAAATAATCTAACTTTTTCATTGATATCAAGAAAAAAAAACTATTTCCTTTATACCTCAGACATGCCAGTATACCTTATGGAACTTCAATGCTGGCAATCGACCTGCAGAGAAATATAAACAAGTCAAGGAACCAACTCAGTAGAAATGTAAGAGGGTTCTAATAAAGAAAGCTGCAACTGATCCACAGCAGGCTTTCTCTTCTCCTCCTCTTCTTTTCCACTTATTCTAAAGTTTAGTTCACCTTTTTTTTACTACCCCATATAAATTGACATTAGTTATGAGAAGTAAGAATTCTAGGCTGCTAGATGCATCTCGTTTTCTAAATTATCTACAAAATACAATAATTTGAATGCTCAATTTCTTGTTATAAATAGTTTCAGTAAAGGTAAAGGTAGTATCAGCATGGCTAGATCTATCAGGTATTTACTGGTTCTTCAGAAATGACATAATCCTGGCACATAATTAAGCTGTAAGCGAGAAGGTCATGAGTTTCAATGTGTGTTGTTTTTGATGATTCGGTCTATCTGTTAACTGCGGTTAACTGTGCTTTCAAAATAATTGTCTGTCCTATTTGATGTTTTGTTTTATTTTGTGTTTTTCAAGGTTGCAAGTGGCAAGACTCAAGAATTAATTCACTGGACTCACTGGAATATTGGACTCGATTGCCATCTATATTAGCATCGTTGTTTATATGTGTGTACTTTTCTTTTTATCCAACTTAATCAAAAATAAATAGACTTTTTTGGGAAAAAACGAACTCCTGATTTAATTATTTATTAGTCCCTAGTATTTTTCTAATTGTAGTGGGATTTTTTTTTTTTTTACAATTTGGATATATTAACCAATTTAATATCTGGAATTATTGCTGTTAGTTTAAGGGTTTAAAAGATAGAATTAATGTAAAGAAATGATTCATGGTCCGCAAAGACTTTTGATTGATTATAAGACATTAACAAGATTAAAAACACATGATTGAAACCATTTAATGTTATTATGAATTAGATGGTCACTTCTAATATTATCAAACTTAAAGCATGACAAAATCTTCTAATGCATATAATCTCCACAGCTCACTGTGAAGCTAAACAGTTTTCTCCAGGAATATATAGAAAGTAGGCTACATAGGGGTAAAAACAATGTCTCATCACAAATTAAATCAACAAAATTAATTGCTTATAACTGCCTTTGTGGTTAAAGTGCAGTAAAATATGCCATAAGGTGATTAGATGTATAGAGAAAATGTAAAGTTTTGTTAGTTAAGGAAACCAGAACTACTGACATTATGCTTGAGAATTTGAGTTAGAGACTATTGATTTAAAATCTCCAGGTTAAGTGAAACAGCATAATTAATGTAATTTACCCTACAAAATAATACATTTAGAATCCATTATCAACTACATTGTCTGCAAAAAGATTATAACTCATCAACATCGTACAAATAAGAATGTATTTGGAAAATAGCAAAGATCATTTTGAGCTACAAGACATAATTGGATGTTTTTTTTTTAAGTTTTTCCAAGAAATACTAAATTCAGCCTTTGATTTTTAACAGGTGGAGATAAACATTTTACCTTTTACAGGCAAAAGCAAAATCTAATCCAACACTTATTAAAAATGACTAACATGGAAGTTAATAAGCCTTTTATGTTTACATCAACATTTTAGCTTTTAGATCAAACGTATTTCCAAACCTTTGACAAAAGGAAGCAGATTTATAAAAAAAAATAATCACATATTTGTTTGTTGTGAGAGAAAGCTCACCCAGACCTCCGGGAATGCATCTGAAGTTGAAGTACACAAAGTGCTTTTGCACCTCATATTTTATGTTCTTTTTGTTGTCTCTGACACCTCCCTCCCACAGACAAGCTGGTAGATTTTTTTTTTCCTGGGTTTCCTCAAACGCGTCCATTTGCATTTTAAACATGTCAAGGAAATGGCTTCCGCCTCAGCTGCTGTCACCGTGTTTGGCAGACAAGCAAGGGGTGTCTGTTAATGTGACACAGACAAAATATACACCTTGCTGCAGATACCGCTGTGCAGCATGATTTACAAGGCACTGCAGAAAAAAACAGTGTCACTTTCTGAAAGCAAGGTTCAGTTTCAGTTTAAAATTAGATGTATTCATGCAGTAATTGGCCTGATATTTTGTGCAACCAGTAAGCTAGTTAGTTAACTGTTAAGGGCATCTATCTATGAAGTATCTATAGCATTGTATGAACTTCTATGTTTCAATGAAAAAACAAAGAAAAAAAGTGATGATATAAATCAGCAGTTCCAGTCAGCTTCAGTCATAAAACCTGAAAATGAGAAAAAGTTGAGCTTGGGCATTTACAGAAAACATAGTGTGCTAAATTATTAATAATAACAGAAAATTCTCCCGTTTAGTTTAATATTATAGGCAACTAACGAGCTCATTTTGATATGAGTCTCCCTCTCTTCCCTCTAACAGCACACCTCTGCAGCTCTAATATTTCGCTGCCAGTACCAGCAAATTGGAAGAGTTGCTGAGCTGTTTCACAAGAGTGCCGCCGAGTTTCTGTGCTTAATGAATTGCTGAATGTGTTTGCAATCCTTGCAGCCAAAAATCCACTGAGCCTAACTAAACCTTCTTGATTTGACTTGTTACACTGAGGTTGAACATTTTCTTACTTGGGTCCTTTTTGCCACAGTTAACCCTATTATGTAAATCTTGGCCCTTTGTTTGCTTACCAACACTTTTCAGAACGGAAAAGGAAGGAATATACTTTACATCCTTGTTTAATACACTCAGAACAATCAGCTCTTTATGTCAATATTTCCCCTTGGAAATGAGTTTCTTTGAATTTACGGTACGAATACTATTAGTCTAAAAAATAATCTTTAATAATAAATAGATAAACTGAAATACAATACTTAGATTACAAAGTACTAGAAATGAAATAAATAAATAAAATAAATCACAAAATAAATAGATGAAGGAGACTTCTAAAACATCGGAAACATCTCAGCACAAAAAAAACCTTGAAGCGGATATTTTCAGGTTTACAAGTTCTACTGTTCCCAGTTAGTTCATAAGTTATTATTCCATGCTTTCTTCCTAATTCTTGAATTGAAACATATTCTTGCCATGTCCTATTACTAATTTCATCTTACACCAGCAAACTTTAAAAACATTCTTGAACTTTTTTTTATTTTTATTGTGATTTCATTGCCATTTATTCTTATTTCTGTATTTTTTTTGTTTTTATTCCTGTTTTATAATTTTTTTTTTTTTACATCTCTTTGTGATTGCTTAACTGTATGAGTGAAAGGCCCTTATTAAATATACTTTATTATTTCACTTACTTACAAACCTTGACACTAATTGTTCTCTGTGTTAGTGTAAAGAATTTGCAAAAAAAAAAAAAATTGACTAAAACCTGAATCTAACACTCTTCTACTATATAAGAAGATTTATTAATAAAATATAAAGATGTTGGTCTTAAAAGGGAGCAAGTTGTTCAGATTGTTTGAAAGTTTCACCATTTCACTTATACAGTAGTATTCCATTCAAAATTTCTCCACTTTCCTTGGCTGGTCCCCTGAGATTCCCTTTTAAACATCAATCCTTGTACTAAAATATTCTTTCTGTCATAACATTAAGATCTAATGAGAAGTGCATTCTCTTGGTCAGACCCTGTAATTCAGTGAAAGGGTGAAGTCAAAGTAAAAAAAAAAAATGCTCGTCCAGGAGAAGGAAGGGGTCACTCCAGTGGCTATAATTTGGCTACCATTCAGCTGGCGTATGACTGGGAAGGGCTACGTTAAATGGCTGCTACTGTATTGGAATTCTCTCTAAATTATTTCTATATTTACATAAGAAGAAGCCTTAAAGTTAGAAACAGTAATTTGGGCACACAGCCTCTTAATGAGCTGAATGTTGTGAGAGTTAATTGGCTGAGTGCTGTGAGAGTATGTGACCAAAGAAGAAAAGAACACAAGATTGTTTTGAGACCAAAAACTGTTAAGCCCAATAACAGTAACATCAGTTTGTACACTGTCTGTTGCACAGTTATGAGTCGGGCATAGAAATTTCCTTCAATGCCGCCCCAGTGAAAAACATCACACTAGCAAGATCTAGTATAGCTGAGAGCTGGCATTTGTCCTACATGTTTCTTATTTACCCCTTGTCCCAACACTCACAAAGCTATTAAGCAGGGCAAGGCACTGTGTTACAGGGAGTAACAGGGAGATTCATGCAACAATATTGTCTATCCCTACCTGCCTATCTTTGAATTCCCTGGCACCTACCATTTACTGTTTTGCCTTTTTTAATAGCAGCTAGGTGAGAACAGCTTCTATCTGTCAAGTGAGACAGAGCCCTGCAGTTGTTCATGACAGGTAAACGTCAAATAAAAAATTCAAGGGATTAAAATCTGGTACTTGTCAGTTAAAGAAGCGGAAGGAAGGAGCTGGTGATGAAGAAGAGGGAGCGAAGCAATGATTACACTGTTTTGAAAGAGTGCGACATTGTGTTCGCTGTAATACCTTGTTGCATTAAGGAACCAACTCCAAACCAGAAGCTGTTAAAGAGAGTGAAGTTGTTCTCCACCACATCTGAGCCAGGATTACAGGGGTGAGCGTCATACCATTCGTATGGGCTAAACCTGGGGTAAAAGAAAAATAGATTAGAAAAATATTTTCTGTTAATCATATGAACTGAAATGTATAATTATTTGCTATGTACGAAGTCCAACAGGGTACTGTAAGGCTGGTTATCTGTCAGACTATCCCAATGAAATAAAAAAAAAAAGCCTTTTCAAAGGAGCCCGGACAATTTATGCATCATAATATTAAACAACTATTTCAAAAGCTACACAATTTATACATAAAGTAGAAGCATAAAAAACATATAGTTAAGAAAGTGTCAGTTTTAGAGCCAAAAAACTAAACTTGTATCCAGAGTTATTCAGTTTAGCAACAGCTTTATACTCTATATTCAAGTTTACTATCAAGCTGAGATTATTAACCAGGAAGTCAATGCTAAAGATGTCTTAGATGGTTTATCAGAGAAAATATTCACGCCCTAGTTTGTGAGAATGAGTCTAAACAGGCTGTGTCCAAGTAAGAATGGTATTCTGAAAATAAACTTCCAAGCATCTATTTTTTGAGTCCATCAAACATCAATAAATCAACATATAGTTACAGCACTCATACAAAAAAAAAAAAAAAGTTTTTAGAATGATAATATAATTCTTTAAGGGAGAACATACCTTAATCAACCTGGTCCAATACGAAAAACTAAGTGCTTTTTATTTAAAGCAGAGATTGACTATATTTTGGGAAGTCATTTTCATGGGCCACACCAAGCCCTAATTGCTGCCTGACTTTTAGAATTAAGAAGGGAATTTAAAAGGAGGTCTAAAATATCTCCAAAGCAGCACAAGAGACCGATCTAACAGATATCAAAGACAGATCAGAACAAAATAATTTTGTAAAAGATAACAAAGTCAGGTAAAAACATTTAGAAACGTATCAGACAGATGAGAACTTTACCAACCTCATTAGCATAATGCAAGACCAGATTGTACGATTTAACAAATGGAAAGAGAGGAGTCTATGTTAGAGTTTAGAGGAGGAAACAAATGCAAAATAAAAATAAAAATAAAGGATCATCTCAAATTTCCCTAAAACCCTCTAAATGTCACTAAAATCTTTGGGATAATATGTACCAAATGGTCAAATTTTTATGATTGAAACAATACCAGGCATGGCAATTATCAAGAATATTCTAAGTACTCCTTTTCATACACTTGGTAAATGGCCTGTTCTTGTATAGCATCTCTTCAAGTCAAGAGACTAGTTTTTAGGCCATTTACACACTGATGGTGGAAAACTACACTGTACAGATTTGTTCTGGGGCTCACTGAAAGCACAATGTACACAGGTCCTCTGTACAGGCACAGAGACATACAATGTATGTAGAAGAAGTGTCTGCCCCAAGGACCCAATGTCTGACACAGACAGAGCTGGGGTTTGGATTGGCAACCCCAATTGCTAGACATACACATGCATACTATGCCACTGTCACCCCTTACTTTCACATGGCATACTAAGTAGGAGAGGTGGACAGACTGGACCCGTCTATGAGACTTATTAAGTTCCAAAATATACAGAATATTGTACGTTAATTGCGTATAAAAATAAATTACTGGCATTAAAAGCAAATTGTGTGATCATGTATTACTGTGTTAACCTTAACATTGCAATGTGCAAGTGTTTTTTTTTATGGTTCAAAATAACAAGCCCCTCTCCATTCCTCAACTCATCCTGCTGTCTCTTCTTTCTTCACTTTTCGCACTAAACTCTTAGTACCTTTTTCAAACACAGGTGTGAGAAGTAATGAAACACTGGCAGAAGCAGGAGGATGTACCACTGAGGATAGAGCCCATATTTTTCTTGAACACTAAACAACTTTGATTTAATCAGTTATAACTATGTACCAAACCATGACCTGATCAAAGCTATTAGCCAAACATTACTCAATAAAATTTCATGCTGCCATCACACATGTTTACTGTAGCTAGAAAATTAAAAGAATTGTTTGGCCACTGTGGTATCAGTTTTATCTAATAAAACATGACATTAAAACACCTTGAAACCTGTTTAGTCTGAGTTTTAGGCATTGACTTTGGTCACCCTGCTTTTTGAAATAAGGTAAATGATTATAAATGCATTTCAGAGGGTATTAAATGTCATATTTAAGATTCTTAAACCGTTTGTCATTTGCTTTGCTATCTGCATCACACTACTAATATAAATGTTGTTTTTGAAGGCAGATGCTGAAATGTCACTTTAAAGATTAAACAAGTTAAAGTCTTTGGATAATGCTGTTGTCTCATTCTTTATTCTTTGATGTAGTTTTCCCACACAAATACAAAAGGCTGATTGTGGTAATCTAAAATCAGACTTCTTGGACTGTTTTAAATCATGTTATCATGATATTTTCGTATTCAAATTCAGCTCTGATAATAATTTTGAATGACAAATTAAAATTTCAATTAAAACAGATATAAACTTCTGTTATAAAAAAAGAATCCTTCTAACACTACTCTAAATATTTTTAATATAACAAGTTTTGACATTTTTGAACGTATACTCTGGATAGATGATGTGGTGAAGTTGCATTCAGTTTGTGATTGTTCATCTGGATGGTATCTGCTGTTAGACTTTGTGTGCCTGTTGCGAATTGCTACCCTTTCGATCAATCTTTTCAACCTCATTTTGTGTTACTTAAATGTTAAAATGGAAAGCCATTGCCAAATAATTATATGATGGTGAAGAGGCACAGAGAGTCCAAAAGACCTTCTGTGCAGCTGAAAGATACATGAATAGAGCTTAAAATGGTCATAAATGATTTGAGTGCATTTTTTTGAATCAAGACATTATTGCATGATTTTTTTAGGCATTTTTCATGCTGCAGCTTAATGGCAGAGTGCCTTCTAGTTACATAGAATTTGGGGGTCATTTTGTACACATTGCCATGACTACAAGCCAACTTGGGTGAGATTACTCTCAATGACCTCATAAAGCTTGCATATATGCTGAGGGCAAATATCTAATAGTAAGTACTTTATAGTGCTGTATAGTACATTATACATGTTTCTCCCTCTCTAAAAGCGTTATAATCTCAGTCAGAGCTCTCTGCTGTCTTCAGATCATATCATTTTAGCAGTAAAAATCAGATATTGTGCCACTTATGTAAATCTTCAATTATGTTTTGAACACAAAAAAATTAGTTTGCAGATAACCTAATTTGCTCATTCATTGATTCAACATATTCAGTTAAAACACAAATGGATCATATAGGTGCCCAGAAAGTAGGGAAAATTGACTCCCTCTAAATAGAGGTGTATAGAAATATGTTTTGCAATGGCTAGCAACAACTAAGATAATTGTAGATTTCAGAAGAAACAGGAACTATTAGCATCATGGTAGAAGAAGTGGAGGTGGTGGAGGAGTATAAATACCTCTTAGTTCACCTTGACAAAAACACGACTGAAGATGCAACTATGAAGCCGTGTACCAGAAGGAACAGAGCAGACTGTACTTCTTAAGGAAGCTTAGCTCCTTCAGTGTTTGCAGCAAGATGCCATATATCCTTTATTCTAAAATAATTTCCTGCAAAGGTTTAATAAAAATAATTCTGATTCTGATTATAAGTCTGCTGTGGAGAGTACGATCTATTTAGCAATCATGAACAACATCAGAGAAAAGTACTTAAAAGAATCTCAACAAGCTGATAAAGTAAGTTAGCTCTGCTTTAGCAACTTATCTACAACTTCTGTAGATGATTTTCCAAGGATTTCTTCATAAAAAGAAAAACAATCCTTCCTGCCTAAAGCTGTCAACATAACTTGAATAACTTGTCAAAATAACTTGATTAAAAAGAAATTAAATTAAATTTAGTGGAATTGAACTGAATTCCACGGAATTGAACTGTAAATTAAAGTCTATTTTGCTTGATAGATAACTATAAATATATAAAAACAAAGTACCATTCATTACGCCACACATCTTTATCTTTATCTTTTTTAATGCTGTGGTGCTCAGTTACTCTATAGTTATCTTGTGGGTTTTTTTTAATTCAATGACAAATGTGATTTGAAAGGGGAAATAATTTTAAAAGTAAAATAAATAAAAAAAAATCACACTGATGTCAAAACTAATGTTATTTGAGATTAGTTTTTATATTTCATGAATTAAAGATAATCAAAAATAGATTTCTCTCTCAAAACTATTTTCTTCTCTCGATTGCTCTTGATTCAGGATTTTTTCTCGATGTAAAAAATGTGTCACCTGCAGACCTGTGTTCCTATTGGCCAGCCTCGACAGAATTGACAGTTGACAGCTACTAGTATAATTTCCTCTGTCCTGTGATACTTTTTTTTTTTTGTTTCCGTCTGGGCCACAGAATCTCTAGGTTTTAGAATTCCTTTTAACTAAATCTGTTTAAATTTAGCCTGACTGTCTTCTGTCTTTTCTCCTGTTCAGCACTATGAAATGACACATTTTTGTTTGAACTGTGCTGTTTTTTCCCCTCTCAAATAGATACAGAAAAGTGTCAGATCTCTCTCAATTGAATTGGATGTTCTTTTGTCTTTCCCAATTTGTAGAGTGGCTGCAGTTGATTCACAATTGGAGCATTTTGGTTTAGGATTCTTGATCAGGAACCCAGAGTTGCAGTCTGTGTTCTCCAATCAGAGATGTTGTGACTTGTAGAGAGGCAAATGTGCTGGTATTTAACTACTGGGAACCACTTCCTACAACAGTTATGAAATTGTACAGTAAAGATCTAAACCAACAGACCAAATGTGGACATTTTTAATAAAATAATATTTTAAAAGCAAAGCCTAATTTGGAAAAAGTAAGTAATACCAGAAATTGTGAAGAAGGCTATAACGTATATATTTGGTTTATTTTCCATTATATTCAAGGACTCTTTAGTTACTCTCTGTTTCCCCCTTGCGCTTGTTTCCTTTCCCCTTGGCTTCCTTCTAGTTATTCCCACTCACACCTGCTCCTTATTCAGCTAATTAATCCATCCTTTGTTCTGTTCCCCTTATATAGACCACCTCTGCAGTCAATCAGCACTGGTTCATTGTTGTTATTTTGTTTTCCCCTGGTCCCTGGCTTCCCACATGAGTTTTCCCTGATGCTTTGTGGTTTTTTTTGGGTCTTTGTATTTTGGATTTTTGGTTGTCTGCCTCTGTTTTCCATTAAATATACAAGATTCACCTCTGCCTCCTTGTCTCTGAATTTGGGTCCTTAACCAATCTCCATACAAATTGTGACAATATTACCCCTTTCTGTCTGAAAGAACCCTTTAATTATCATGTACATTAACTTTCATGTACATTTAAGGGTATTTAAGTAAATTCACTTTTCTCTGGCTCAGTCAGACCTTAAATTGACTGAGCTATCCCTTAGTGAATAATTTCAAAAAATTTAAATGATTTTAAACTGATGTAAAGCCACTCCAAGACGAGTCTAGTCTCAGAGCAGCAAATGAGGATCGAGGAGTGCAGCTGTTTGCTCTCGAGCCCTTGAACTTCCTCCAGTGTCTGTTTTTTTAGAACTTCCTCAAGCACCACTTTGCATGAGAAGCAGCAGGAAATGAAGTCAGTGACACTAAAAGGATATTAATCGTATTCATGACCAAAGAAAAACAGAAAACAGATAATATCCAACTAAAATTCGAAGCTGGCTGCATGAACCTCAAAATTCCTAAAATATGTAAATGGTGTTAATCAACTATAAATAACACCCTAAGATATAATTTCACATCAGGTGTGTATGTTTTTTTATCCTCCTGAATGTGATAATTACACAAAATCTCTTCTTTTTTCTTAAAGTTTTTTTTTAAACCCGCTTTCAACTTTCAAAGACATACAGGAAACCAGAAATTACTCACTGAATGGGACCTTACAACCATACTTGAAGGCTTTTTTGTGTTCGCTTCACACTGCTGCGCTGTTGAGAGCTCATGTGGACATAACTGCCTTGATCACTACCCAGCAGTTAACGCAGTATGATAAACTGGACTCATGTACTCAAATCTCAGCCAGTAATGATAACAGAGTAAATTACTGTGACTCGTGGAGATGTATGAAGGACTGAAAGGACAAACGGCTTAAAGCATCTGTACTTACCTTGCAATGACAAAAAGAACGCAGCTAACACCTAGGTATGCCAGAAGAATATACACCCAGATGTCTGGAGTCATGGGGTTCAGGAAGGAAAAGAAGCCGCTGTTTGTGGCATTGGGCCTTCGATAAAGGATGCTGATGCCTGTACTCATGAAGGGCTTTGAGAAGTCAACGACTTTCTCACGCATGTAGGTAATGGTGAGAGGGGCCACTGCCAAGTCTGCTCTCTGAAAAGGAAAAATAAAATAGTTATATGTATTTTTTTTTCTTTGTTTTTTCATAAAAAGTAACTTTAGAAAACTTGAGTTAACATTATGCATATATACATTCATTTTAACCTGGGGAGACACAGAGATAAGCTGAAATTAGAAATGTTTTATTCAATTCAAATGCAGTTTTCTTATACAGGTAACACAGACAGATTGGTCAAATGTTTTCTATCTAATGAAAACCAGCTGGTTGGATTACTCTCTTCAATTCCTCTCACCAAGCAACAGTGGTGAAGAAAACTCCCTTTTACAGGAAGAAAGCTCCGGCAGATCCAGGCTCAGTGTGAGTGACCTTCTGCAAAAGGCCAACTGGAGTTCAAGGAGATAGAAGCATATATGCAGATATTGACATAAATTAAAAAAGTTCCTTGGGAAAGAGTAATCTTTCCCCAGGGCCCGGACACTTGTGGTGGAATAAACTAGAGCGTGAGTGGGATTGAGAATACTCTAAGACTGGGGGAGGAGATGGGGCGGAGGTGGATGAAGGTTTGTTTGAGTGCAGCAGAGAGAAGCAAGTCCAGAAGCTAAATGAAGGAGATCTTGAAAGAAGTTTGGCTTTGGAGGCTTTGTGGCCCCGAGATCATCGGCTGAAGCTGGACGAGGGACATCACAAGTGGTTGAGCTGAAGCCGATAAGATTCTTCCAGATTACATTTTTTTCTTAAGCTTCATCTGTTAATCAACTGACAAAAATGTCAATTTCTGATTCACTGTACATTAACAAAGTTGCAATATTCCCTTGAATTTTTTTTAGCTTTGTTTAATATCAATATAGTAGCTCAATATGAATTGCCTGAATGCAATGTGACTGACAAAAAAAAACATAGTTGTTAAGTGGAAAGAAAACTTTATGAATAGATTTTTTAATATAATAAAATTCAAACTAAGTTGTGCATTTACTTTTACCCCCTTTACTTTGACAGCCATAAATAAAATGCAGTGTATGCAAAGGCCCATACAAGTCACCACATTAGTAAACTGGCCAACTGTGCTTCTCACAAAAAATGCAGCTGATCTGTGAAGGTATCAGAGGTTTGTTGAATAACATTAAGGGGAAAATAGAATCAAGAAAACCAAAGAACACAACAGAAAGGTCAGAAATGGTTGCAGAGAAATTTAAAGCATTCTTAGTTTATAAAGCAATATTTCCTTGGCAGGGAGAGAGAAGATGGTCAGAGATGGACAGATACAGTTTAGTCCGAGGGAAGAACAAAAGGAAACTTTTATATTAGTGACTGAGTATATAGAGTTAATGGTCTTGTGGGAAAACAAACATAAACATACAGCTGAAAGATTGAAAATGGATGCTTTCTTTTCTGTCTCAATGAGCTGCAGCTTTCCTGTCAAAATAAAGGGGTGAAGATTTCAGCCTTGGTCATATTATCAGAACAAGGTAGTTCTACAAAGTATTGATTCAAGAGGGTTGGATGTACTGTAAATGCATTTCCCAGAAATTATTTATTTATTTCTAATCTAATTCTAACTTACCTTCTCCTTCAGAGAGCTATGAAGATTTTTTCTTTTATTTATATATATATATATATATATATATATATATATATATATATATATATATATATATATATATATATATATATATATATATATATATATATATATATATAAAACTTATATGTGCAATAATAGTCTCTGATTGATGCTGAGAAAATATACCAATAGGTTAGCAAGGTTGTAAGGATGGGAATGCATACAGGAATAAATAGTTGATACACGCAAGGTACAAATTAAGCTGCGGTCATTAACAACCGCCAACAACTATGGAAGTATGCCTGGTGTGTAAATTCATACGGTCTTCAATATCAATGCCCCAACCTTTTTGTATGCTGTTCAACCTAACAACAACCACCATCCACTTCCCCTACACGATGGCTGAGCAGGAGGTTAATGAAACCAGCTGCTTGGTTCACGCATGGATACCCTTTTCCCTTCAAAGAAACGGTACAACCCACAAAGGGAGGCTTTCTTTACGTCCTACATGTTGAGAGGAGTAACAGGGCAGAAATACACAACTGTTCACTGTACCACATTTAACACATCAACTGAGTGTTTTGTTTCTTTGTTTTCTTTTGTTTTGTAGTTGTTTTAGCAAAAAGCAAAGCTATAAGACTTATTTCAAAAGGGATTTAAATGAATGGCACGCAGGAACACACATTTACAAAGAGTACAATAAAAGCTTTGTGGTTTAATGTGTCAGAATTTTTACTTGAGCCCTTTATCAAATATTCCAACATACACTTACAATATTTATCCCCAGTTTGAAATAATCTTTTTTAGACAGCTCTCGGCCCAGATTTATGTGATACCTTCAATACAAGTACACACGGGTCAGAAATGAAACATTTTCACTTTGCATGTGGTACCTAGAATTATGTGCTCCTGTGGTCTGCACCATGGTGGATAAACACACAGTTGATAGAAGGGTAGAGAAATCCGAACATCCTGCTGTGTACTCAGAGTTTCTCTTAAACTATTCAAATTCCCATATCACATTCTGCTCCCTGTATTCTTTGCTGCCAACCGCAGCTTTTAACCAGTCTCCCCATCAGCCATAAGATCAAGCCAGCATGCCATTCCAGAGATCCCTGCAGTGGGTTAATATACATGCTGCAGGTTCTTATTCTGCTTTTGGCTCATGGACACAAGCAATACAAAGACAGTACCCTAATATGTTCTACATGCCATCTGGGTTTGCAGATAGTGGGCTTTACAGTGATGCCCTCTTACCTGATAACCCGGAGGACAATTGCTAACACGGACATAATCACCATAATATTAAGAGGAATTAATATGCAGCACTTTTAGTTAGAGCTATACATGATCAAGGCTTTGATGTACAGTAATTGAGTACTACAATGTTTTTTTCCTGCGGTACATTTCTGTATGCTACTGTAACTGCTGTTCTTAGACATAGAGTAACATGGCTTAGATGAAATTATGTTTCACTAAACAGAGGCAGAGGCAATATATCTGTGGATTAAATAGTTTTAACTACATACACCATATAAAAAAAATATAATAAATTTGAAGTTGATGTAAAGAAAAGAAAATCTGTACTTTCTTACATAAGGATCTGCACCACTTTAATACCTTTCACATTTTCCCCAATAAAACCCAAAATTCAATGTAAGTAACAAAGTATAATGTGAAAGTAAAAGATTAGGGGTCTTTATTATTATAGATATAAAAAAAAAATAATGATTAAAATGTGATGTTTAAGAGTGCTCAGGGAGGTGTTCAATGGGATTTTGTTGTATTAATTACTTCCCTATCCTTTGTAGCACATACCCTGATCTCCATAAGGGTGTTTATTTGCTAATCTAATAAATCTTTGAGGCCTTCAGCAAAATGTTGTATTATAAAAACTGTTGGACCCTATTTACATTTCGTGGTCCCTCTGAAGGCATATGGTTGTAGCTAACTTTACTTTGTGTAACACTTGTAAGGCATAATATTTTTTTTGCCACATATATGTTTTTAAAACACTATTAAAATAAAAGCATTGAAAATTATGCACTACACTGTCAACTACACACTATCTCAAAAAAATGCATTAAAGCTTTTGATTTGGATTGTGTAAAAAAATTAAGAAAAAAGGAAATCAAGGGGCCTAAAAAGCTTTTCAAATTTATGGTTACAGAAATACATATATGCCAAATAAAAGTGTAGGATTTATCCTTTGCAAAATTATGTGAACATCTGATAAAAAGCTAAAATATACAAAGATGTCTGCTGCTGTCCTAATATCAGTGAACACTTTTTAGAGTTTATTAAATAACTTAATAAACCTTTGCTTTTAATGTCAGTTTTGGATAAATGTATTTTTCTTTATTTTTGTTAGGTTAAATAGGGATAATGTCGGGTTTGGTGGAGGTTGGTTGAGGACCCAAATGCAGAGATGAGTTCTTACAGGTTTAATGAAATCAAAAAGGAAACAGAAACAAAATCTAAGAACCAAAATACAGGAAACCAGAAACCAAGAGACGTCAGGGGGGGGGGGGGAAACACATGGGGAGCCAAGTAACATCAAGAAACCAGCCAAGAGTCACTGAAAAGGAGGTGTATGTATGGGAGACAGAAACAATGGGAGGACTAATTATCTGATAGGGAGCAGGTGTAGACAAAAGTAACCAGAAGGAGCTAAGGGAAAGGATATCGGTACAAGGGGGCAGCAAAGAGCAACTCAAAAAAAATACAACACTGCTTAAATATAACACAAAATGGAAATACAGAATGGATACAGAATAACATAAACTCAAAGTGGAACTGAAAACTTTAAAAGAAACTCAAACAGAAGTCCACACAAGTCAAAATCATGGCAGATTATAACCAGTGGACCTGAAATAGCTGCTTTTTCAGATGTTAGTTCATTTTTGGTGCAGGAATGAGCATGTTTAAGAATGGAAGCACAATGAGGTCTGTTGTGGATATTGTGACCTCTTTAGTTAACTTTTTTTGGGTGAAGGTATTAGATCAATTGACTCAAGTATGCTTCACAACACCAATAAAAAGGGCTGGTTTTGTTCTTGGAACTCATCTAGAACCATTGGAGATGATTTAAAAAGAAGAATTTTTCATAAAATTCACAACATAACAGTGTCTTCATTCAAAAGCCTCTCCAATCATGCCGTAATGTAGACCACTGCAGGTCTTTCCTTTTAATAGCAATTACCTTCTACAAAACCACAATGAAAAGAAACTGTATGATATTTGCCTGGGTTTATTAAAATATTTTAGAATTAAATTTAGAAGTTGTGCAAAAATAATAAAGTTAACATTTAGTTGTAAACTTAAGCTGATTTATTTCAGTGTAGTTTAACCTAATAACCTTGCAGCAACAGGCCCAACTGTAAGTCACATTTTTCAACAAGTCACCCTGAAAATCAAAGTCACACTTGTACATCAGCTAGTTAAACGTCTTTCAGGGGAAAAAAACAGCTC